CATGTTTGAGATGGTGTCCTGAGTGAGGGTGAGCATATTCACAGAAAAATGATTTGCTTTCTCATTAAATGTGAAGTTGGTTGACCTGACTCTTACATATTCTGTCCTTTTCCACATAGGAAGGATGTGGCCCTAGGTCTGGTTATAAAGAACTACTTAGCAGTTTAGCAAAAAATTCTGCCAGTTTGGCAGATTTTGACCACTAAAAATCCAAAGAAAATGGACAAATAGAACAAAGGTGAAAATGTAAGCCATGGTGTGTGTGTGTGTGTGTGTGTGTGTGTGTGTGTTTGATGGTTTAAAGAAGACTGCTACTGCAAAAAAAATTTTTTTTTTTGAAGTGTTGCTAGAAGACTGCCATAAGAACTAGTTGGAAAAGACGGACACATCCAAAATAACTAGGTATAAATTCCAAATGCATTTAAAAGAAGGAGCTGGAAAAACCTGGGTAGAGATGGCAGGGAGGAAGGTCTAGCAAGAATCCAAAAAAGTGTATAATGAATTAATGACTCTTCTACACAGCAATTTCTAAGGCAATTGCCCCATCACAGTGGGGGTTTAACAAAGTGGCAGTGTAAAGTACTGGAAATGGAATTAAATGCTGAAGTCCCAATAGCTGTGACATTGGGCAAGTCACTTCATATCTTTTGAGTCTTCATATCTATATTTATAAAATGGGGTCAATAAGAAATCTTATCCTATTTCATAATGAAGCGTTAATGAAAGTCCTTTTTAACCGTTAATGGAATACCCAGGGAAGGGGTTTTCTATGGTGCTGGTAACATCTGCTTCTTGGTCTGATGCTGGTTACAAGGTGTGTTTACTTTGTGGGTGAAATATGTGTATCATACTTTGCTAAAACATTTCCTTTTAAAAGAGTAGCTTAAACCCATTTTTAAAGTTGGGATGGTAATGATAAAGACAAGGAAAAATATAAATGTGGATCTGAGCTCACAATCTACCCTCATTTCTCTTCCTAGACGTTGTATCAGGACTTAAAAAGGGGTTAGTGATGATGATGAGTTGTTTTCTCTGTGCATGTTTGCTTGTTACTGGATAGCATTTTCCTGGTAAAGATGCAGGAGGAATGAACCAGGAAGTTCCCTGCATGCCACAAGGGTCAACAATAAAAAGCAAAGAGCCTAAGCAGTTCACATCAAGGGAAAGATGTGATTAGAGAGATGGAACATGCAAAGAAACTATCTGAAAAGTGAATTCAGTTGGGAAAGTACAAGCCCCAAAGAGCCCTGAGCAGCTGGTCATGATCAGATTCTTCATCTTGCTGTCAAATGTAATTGTATCTGAGTTGGCAGGGTATTTATTGCTAAAGTCCAAGGGCCAGATTTTACACTAAACATATTTACACATTTACATTTGTGGCCCTATAAACACTCCACGTTTCACTGGCTGTGACATCAAACACATTTACCAACAAAAAGCATATGCCTAATTACAAAATCATAGGGGAGAGGGGAGGCAAGTGGCAGCTGATGGGCAATGAGCGTGCACGCCTGTGTGTGTGCATATGTGTAACCCAGCTGCCACGCCAGGAAACCGGTAGAGACAAGAATGGATGCTGACAATGCCCGGTCCTCTTCACTTGTCTTCTGCTCCCCAGGCCTGTCCTTGCTGGTTCAGTTCTAAAGGCGGAAGGGGACCCCTGGCATTCCAATTAGACCCAAGGTGACCCCCCTGGGGGAGCCCAAAGACAACAGGGCTGTTCCCAGGCAGATTTCTGATTTGGATTGAGTTTGATGCTGTTGTGACCTGCAAGTTGCCTCCAAATGACTTTCTGCAGTCAGTAGTACAAACAGGTGTGAGCAAAATGTGCAGCCAGCAGAGAGTTTTAAAACTAAGACTGGAGTCCTTAATTCCTGGCTTTACTATTAGTAGGATCACATCCCTACCCATCAATAGCAGTTGTAATAACATCGTTAGTTGCTCCAAGCTAGATCCTCAGTCAAGCAAGGAAATCAGAGCCACCAGGGCCATCGAGAGGAAAACAAAATGGGTACAACCACTGGCCTCAAACAACCTTTTAAACAAATGACACTGGCTGGTAGTCCATCAAAATAATCACCTTCCATCAGAATAACCACCTCCCCCAGCTCTCTCAGAGGACAGGCTACAGGAAGAAATGGTGAGTTAAAAAAAAAAAAAAAAAAGTGCTGGGAAGGGCAGAAGCCTTTCTCCCAAATGGATGCTTACTACATTTACTGTAAGAATTTTGATAATAAATATGCCCAACATTTTAGTTCCATCAGCAGGAAGTTTGGGAAGGAAAGGGCCAAACTTTACTGCTCAAAGAGCATGGGATGGGAAGTAGAGACCTCAGTGAGTAAAAAATAGGAAGAAAATATGTATTTATATATTTTTTCCTTCCTCTCCATAGTTTCTCTTTCTTCCTTCCTTTCTCTCTTTTCTTTCCTTCTCTTTCTTTCCTTCTCTTTCTTTCCTTCTCTTTCTATTTCTCTTTGTTTCCTTTCTTTCTTCCTTTTCTCTTTTCTTCCTTCCTTCCTTCCTCCCTTCCTCCCTCCCTCCCTCTCTCTCTCTCTCTCTCTCTCTCTCTCTCTCTCTCTCTCTCTCTCTTTCTTTCTTTCTTTCGAAGGGAAGTAGCTCTTAAATAAATGCAGGGAATGGAGATGGGGAATAAACACACTGTTAAGCAGAAGCGCTAGCTTATTTTAAAGAAATAATTACCCGATAGAGAAAAAAACAAACCAACCAAGAAACAACCTAAGGTCATGACACCATGTGTGGTACAAGGAGCAATTCCATCCATAAGGGCTTCATTACCTCCGCAATAGATAACATTTGGCTCAATCCAGCCGCGGATTAAACCTCCGGGCACAACAGAGCGCTGAATGGAGGGGCTCCTTTTTGTGTGGTCTATCTCCCGGACCTGCCCGAACCATTAGTCCAATAGATCCCGCTCCCTATTAACTGCAATTCCCTGTCCACTGCGCTGAGGTCGTTTGTCTCCGGGCTCTCCGGGGCGTTGGATGAGCGGGAAACCAGGAGAAGAGACGGGAGAAAAGCGCCGGGTTAATGAGTTGTAGCAAATCCACTCTTTGTAGTTGGGAGGAGGAGAGCCGGTGGCCAATGTTTGTCTAAATGGTTTATTTTTCGAGACCCAGCCTATTGAGGAAGGCTTGTTCCAGCGGGCTCCATCCTTACAAACACGCAAACATCCTTCAAAGAGACCAGGGCTGTATTTGCATGCGAATGAGGAGCCCCGGGGGAGACGTCCTCGCCCGGCGAAGGCCTCGGTAGTCGGGCGGCCTTTGTTCCAGCACCTGCTCGCCTCCGTGGCCTCACCGGGCTCGCCCCGCGCTCCCGGTTCGCGGGGTCCACGTCCACGGTCCCCCGCCCGAACCTCGTCCGCCCCCTGGCCCTCGCCCCGCAGCCCAGATTGATTCCACGGCCGTCACAGACCCCAGGGCACCGGCCCGCGGCCCTCGCTGCTCCGTGTCTCCCCAACTGAGGGCCGGCCCGGCCGGGCTGACTTTTCCTTTTGGCTCAGAGCTCACTAAACGCTGGTGGTCTCTCTAAAGGGCACGGACGAGACGGGGAACCGAACTCGGGGGCCGGGGCGAAGCCAGCGCTGGATCGCCTAGTGCTTACCTGCCATGGCCTTCCCTTAAGGGCACTGACAACCTGGGAGGATCGGCCTGTCCCGGCACTTTCTTTTAAAAATGCGGGAATCTGAATTTAGGGATTGGCTGGGATTCCCTGCTTTCAGGACTTCTAAGCCTCCTGCAAATAACGACATGCAAGTGTCTGGTTTTGCTCTCTTCGTCATGACTTTCACAGCAAAATGTCACATCTATACAATATAGAGTGCCGGTGCCATTGGGCTCCGCCCGCTAATGCCTCCCCACCCGGGTGGCAGCGCCATCGGATGCCCTCCGTTCCAATGTCCCCTCTCCCTTAGCCGGGACAGAATAAAAGTAACCTTTGCATATAAGACGTTTGCCTAACAATACTCTGATTTGTATCGATAGATTTAGTTATAAGTTTGAGGGTGAATGTATTTACTTTAAACTCACTTAATTTCTTCCAAGCACTTTTTTTTTGGGGGGGGGGGAGACTGAATTTAATTTTGAGACAGTGAATCAAGTTTTTTTTCTTCTTCTTCTTCTCTCTCTCTCTCAAAAAATAAATGAGAGAGGACAGAGATCCAGAATGCATGTCACTGCAAAATACTGGCCTATAATTCAGTCTTTGATAACTTGCTAGGTTAAATTTGCAGATCTTCCAATATATACCTGTTCAGACATTTGAAAAACTATTCAGTTTTTACTTAGGCTGCAACTCACTGGTAATAAGCACTTAAACTATGTTTTACACACACCTTGGTTTTAGTTGAAGCCCTCAAAAACATTCCCAGTCATCAAAGGTAGTCTCACATAACTTCAAGATCTAAAAATTGCCTGCAATAAGTTTAAAGAAAACACATAGAATTTGAAAAGAGATTGTGTTATCTAAATTTATAAATATAGTTAGTTCAATAAACACCTGATGCATTTTCATTTTTATTATTTACTATTCATTCTAACTAAAATTTTGATGTTTGCATTTTGGGATAAAAACTTCTTTATGCAATTACTGGAATTCCTTCTGTTGAGGAAATAGTAGCTTTACTAGTAAATTCCAGGACTTTCAAATACAACTTATTTTGTATATATAAATACACAAAATATATTTGTATATATTTTCTTATTCAGGACTTTAAAGCTATTTAACTGATGATCATGTCTATTACATTTTAAAAACTAAAAACTGCCTCTTTACTTGTGATGCTTCTGTTACAATAATACTATGTTGCAGAGTTTTCACAGACACATACAATATTGTGTTCAAACATGAATGGAAACTGCTTGAAATGGGGAGCTCAAAAATGAAAAGGTTCTAGAAAGTTATCCTAGAATAACAGTGTCTTTAATTTTAAATCGCCTTAATAATCACCAAAATGGAATGGAACGAGATTTGAAAATGTATACCAAAGTGACGTCTTTTATTTGTAGTCATTTAAAAATAACTTCTGATCTCCTGCAATGAAAGTTTTGTTAAACTCTCTTTGAAAATAGCACTTGCCTTTTCCATAATAGGTTCCTTCCTACTTTTCTCGCATAGAAACTTTTTTTTCTTCATAAAAAAGAAAGCAAACTAAGAAGGGGACAATTGAAGCAAATTCTTTTGGTGGGTTTTCTTTGAAAAGTAAGCATTTTATTTCTGAAAAAAGGTGTAAAAATCTTACATTAGAATAGTACAATTGCCCGTAAAATTTACAATACTCCTTGTAAAGAATATGCAGTAAGTACAAAATAAAAGTTCCGCGTGTCTATTATGGTACAAAACACAGGTTAAAATAAGAAATAATTTTGACTTTTTTCCTTGTGTAAACATGTGAATTGTTTGTGTGTGTGTTTTTTTTTCCTTTTCATGAAAAAGCACACCAGACAAGTGTCCTCAAGTAAAAACTATTGCTTTGCTGGCATTCTTCAGGACCTTTACTATTTTTGTATTCTCATTTTGAACATTACTGATTCATGCCTGGACCTGAGCATCTCTAGACCTCAAAAAAGGCTTTAGAATGTTTAAGATTATTTCCCCAACGTCAAGGAAGCCCCTGGTGCCTCGACAGGGCGGATCCCACCAGCACCCTCTCCCTCCCAACCCGGGCTGGAGGCCGCCGCACAGGGCAACTGCATAAATAGAAGGACCCGCGGGGCCCAAGGCGATCGGTGGCCACACAGTCTCCTCTGAGAATCCAAAGCGGCGAGGACCGGGGTGCGAGGTCGGGAGGGGCGGGCTACACACACCAAACCCACCGAGAGGAGGAAAGGAGCGGGGTCCTACCTGCGTCCTCGCGCGCCAACAGCGCGTTCCTAACAATTGGAAATCCTAGCGGTAAAGGGCTCCACGCCGGGCAGGGCGGCGCCTTGGTGCAGCGTCCCCAGCGCGGCCGACGAGGACACGGAGGAGGCGGCGGCGGCCGCGGCGGCCACGAGCGAGCGAGTGAGCGCGGCCGCGGGACCCACGGCCGCCTGAGCCGCGCAGCCGCCGCCGCCGGGTCCAGGACCGGGTCCGGGTCCGGGTCCTGGCGCGGACGCGGGCGGCGTCCCCACCGGCGAGGGCGCGGGCGAGGCCTGCGCAGCGGCGGCGGCGGCGGCAGCGGCGGCGGCGGCGGGGCCCAGGCTGCCCCCGATGATGCTCTCGATGGAGAAGGGCGAGCGCGCCAGGGCCGAGGCGCCGGGGCCGCCGCCCGCCTTGGCCGCGGAGGCCGGCAGGGGCCCGGGCAGGGCGGCGGCGGCGCCGAGCGGGGGCGGCCGGTAGGCGAAGGCGGTCCGGGCCAGCTCGGCGGCCGCGCCGTGCGGCGGGGGCGGCGGCGGCGAGTGCGGGTGGAAGGCGGCGGCGGCGGCGGCCGCGGCGGCGGCGAAGAGCGCGGAGGGCGGCGGGTAGGGCGGCAGCTGCAGGCCGTAGCCGCAGCCGTAGGGGCCGTAGCCGTAGGCGGGCGGCGGCGGCGGCGGCGGCGGGAAGAGCGCGGCGGCGGCGGCCGGGTCGCCCGCGCCCCCCGCGCCCCCGGCCCCGCGGAGGAGCAGCGTCTCGGCGGCGGCGGCGGCAGCGGCGTTGGGCGGGAGCAGCGGCTGCCGCTTGAAGCGCTTCCTCCGGCGCAGGAAGCTGCCGTTGTCGAACATGTCGGCGGACTCGGGGTCCAGCGTCCAGTAGTTGCCCTTGCCCGGGTTGCCCGGCTCGCGGGGGATCTTGACGAAGCAGTCGTTGAGCGAGAGGTTGTGGCGGATGCTGTTCTGCCAGGCGGGGAACTTCTCCCGGTAGTAGGGGAAGCGGCCGCTGATGAACTCGCAGATCTCGCTCAGCGTGAGCCGCTTCTTGGGGCTCTGCAGGATGGCCATGGTGATGAGCGCGATGTACGAGTAGGGCGGCTTCACCAGCGGGTTCTTGGCGCCGCCCGCGCCCCCGCCAGCGCCGCCGGCAGCGCCCGCGCCAACGCCGCCCGCGCCCCCGCCCGCGCCAGCCCCGGCCCCCGCGCCCGGAGCCGGGCCCGGGGCCCCCGGGGAGCCGCCCGCCCGCGGGGCCAGGAGGAGGTCCTCGTCGTCGTCCTCTTCCTCCAGGTCCTCCAGCTCGTCCTCGGCGTAGGAGCGGCGCCGCCGCGAGGCGGGGACCGCCAGCCGGGGCCCCCCACCGCCGCCGCCGCCCTCGTCCTCCTCTTCCTCGTCGTCCTCGTCCTCGCCCTCCCCCACCACGTCGATGTCGGTCTCCTCGGCGAGGCCGGAGGCATCGGACATGTCCGCACTCAGGGTCATCGCTGGCGCGCGGCGTTGGCGGCGGCGTTGGCGGCGGCGGCGAGGGGGCGCATAGGGGCGCCGGGCTCCGGGCTCCCGCCGCGCCCCGGCCCTGGTCCCGGGCGGCGGGCCGGGCCCCGGGGCGCCACGCTGGGGGTGCCGCGGCTCAGGCTGTGGGTGCGGGGGCTGCGGCGGGGCCGGCGCGGCCCGGGCTGGCGCTGCAGCGACTTGGAAACTCCAGCGCCTCCGCCTCCGCCGCGGCGTCCCCGCGGCCCTGCGTCCCCGCGGCCCTGCGCCCCCGCGCCCCGCGCTCCCCGGCCCGGGAGGGGCCCTTGACCTTCCCCTCCGAGCGCCCCGGGCCGGGTCACTGGAGGAGGGGGTGGCGGGGCCCTGGGAGAGCGGGTCGGTCAGACGCCGGGAGGGTGTGGAACCGGGAGCCCCGGGCCGGAGCTCCGGGAGGGAGTGGAGGGCTGAGACCAGGAGAGGGCGGCCCTCCGCGCCGCTTATAGCTGGAGGGAGCCTGTCACATGGTGCGCGCGTCAGAGCGCGGCCGGGGAGCGTGGCGAGCGCGGAGACCCGCTCCGACCGAGAGGGAAAGTTCTCCCGGGGGCGGGAGCGAGGGCCCAGAGGGAGCAGGAGGGTCCCGAGTGCCCTGCCACCAGGGCTGAGACCCGAATCACTGGCTGGCCCGCGGCTATCTGTCTCCTGGGCAGGAGGCGGGGTTCCCAGCCGCCGCCTCTTCAATGAGCGCTCAGCCCAACCTCCAGATGCACCCGGGTGACTCGACGGTGTGGCCGCTCCACCCGTGGCCCGTGTGAGCCGCGCAGCCTGGCACCCCGACGCCCCCTTGTCTGCGGTGGTCCCGGGGGAATGGCTCTGAGGTCTGATGGGTGGTCTAGGGGCGAGTGCCCCCATCGAACCCGATGAGATGCTCCTCCCCGGTTTAAGCACAATAATTGTTTATTGACCTTTTCACCTGCCTCCTTCGGTTCTTCTCCAAAGACGTTTGTTTTCCACCATCTGTTCATAAAAATGCTGTAAGACAGGCGTTTTAGTCACTTATCTGCAAGTGAATGCTCTAGAAACTTGGCAGCTACACTAAAGCCACTCTAATGAGAGGATCTGATAATTTTAATGGGAATCAAGAAATGACTGAATGCAGAGAAGAAATAGAAACACTTGGTGAAAAAACAAATACACACAAAAATTTTATTTAAAAAAAAGTTTTTGTACCTAGAAACTCAGTCTTTTCATAATGGGGGGAGGGACTCTCTAGATATAGATAAGAGGAACTTTCTACTCAACGCTTCAGGCTAATCTCCAAATACTTAAATTACTATAATGTATACAAACATCTCTACTCAGGTGGGCTTAAAAATAGAAACTATAATGATAAATAAAAATTTTCAGACCTGTTCTGAATTTTTTTTTTAATCTAAGTATTTCCAATAGCTACTGGTAAAAAAAAGAATTGATTTTTTTAAAAAAAGATTTGAGTTCTAGTCAACTCAATTTTTCTTTTCGGGTGACAGTAAGCAAATAATTCAAATATGATTCTATTTTATGTATACTTATGTTTGTCACCAATTCTAATTATTTTGGCTAGTGAAAAATTATAATGGTTGTGAATTCACACTCCCATAGCAATACCTTTTGGATTTTGGCATTTCCTAAAACACTTCTATTTCAAAGTGGGGAACTTGCCTCAAATTTCTGGCTTTCTAATTAAAATGACCACTTGACAAGAACTGAGAATCAAAACTCAATGGCTTTCTGTAGGAATCAGCTGCCCTGTGTGTATCAATTTATTGGCCAAGTACTTTTCACATTTTGAAACATTTCATTATTCCCCTTATCAATCACGCAGCCTCAAAAATAAACTATTCCCCCATTTAAGACCTCTTTTTAAATCGAATTTTTGTTGCCGAGAACAGCTACCAAACAGTTACACTTACAAATGGCCCGTGAAGTTCATCATAGATTTGAAAGGTCTATGAGAGTGTCTCAAAGTTCTAAATAAATTATTTTTCATTGACTCTACTTTGATATATGGTTGAACCATTTAATTACTGTAATGGGGTTTAGGATTAACCTGAGCCAACATTAATCAGCACTGTTAATCAGGCATTACATTGCTTTGTTGTTGTAGCCAGGAGTCCTTACCAAGGAGTTCACTTTTATAATTTGAAAGTTTAAGTTTCATAAGTACTGCTCAGTCCATATCTAAATAAACACCATGATTTTCGTTGGACTGGGGGTTGGTGTGTGGCAAAGTATTTAAAGATGAAACGGAGAAGAAGAATTTGTTCTCGGACCATTAGTTACTTTAGAATCTAAAGTTACAGCCCTCGTTCTGTGGTTGCCACTGCCCTGAACTTGTCTGGCCAAGAAGGGCGCAGAGATTGGCCTGGTGTTCGGTTTATAACTGTCTGAAGGTCCCTCCCCAAAGGGCTAAAGGGCTCTTCCCTAAAAACTTTTTTTTCCTTTTTTTAAGAAAGTGGCAAATTACCTTCTGATTATTCAGGAGAAAGTGTTGGGATTTACTGAAGGCCAAGGCGAAAGATCAACCCAGGAGGACGTCTGCAGGGTCAGGGTGTTAGCAGAGATTTGGGGGAGCTTTTCTAAAGCCCCACATTTGGGCAGCCCCCTTGCTCTGTTTGTTTTAGTTAAGCTACACATTTGTATGTGAGTTTTAGCTCTGCGCTCGTAAAAGTCCCCCAGCGCGGAAACCCCAGCTTTTCATTTCCCCCTTTGGCCTCCTTTCGCCCCCCACCCCTACCCCCTACCTCATTGCCCTCCCTCCCTAACGAGCACCCCGCTCTCAGCCGAGGCTGGGAACGCCGCCCCACCCCACCAAGCTGGTAGGAGAAACGAGGAACATTTCCGTGAAGCGGGCTGGGGACCACACGGTGACCCCGGTCCTGCGCGTCCTGCTGGCGTGGGTGCAGGCTCTAGCCGGGCGCCTACGGGCCATTGGAGTCCGCGTCGGGGAGGGCTGCCCCCTGGCGGAGGCCAGGCGCTGTTCTGGTCCAGGCTCTAGGCGGGATCCTGAGCTGGCCAAGATCCTTTCCCACCGTGCTCACCCCACCCCATCCCATCCCCTTTGCTTTTATTTGCCTGTCAGTCCTCCCCAACTTTTTAAACCAGGATTGTGCCAGGGAGGAGCGAAGGAGACGCATTCAGCCAGTTACCCTTGGCCTCTGACCGAGAAAGAGCTCCTCCGTGAGGTCCCAGGACCTCCTCAGATGGGCAGAGGCTGGCGGAGACCTGGGTGTAAGCTCCCCGGACAGAAACCCCGGGGACTCCTCCCCGGGCTGTCCCAGTTTTATGGCATACAGCGCAGCCCAGGAGTTGACCCATGAACATGAATCTGGATGCGTTTCCAAATGGCAGATACTTTGGGCGGCGTCCCTCCCCAAAGAGCCATTCCACAAGCTGTACTGAGATGCTACGTTGTGGCTGGCAATAGGCTCCAGAGAAAGAAGAAAGCAGGAGTCCCTGGTGTGAGGGTGCTTACCATCTCAGGGGGGGGGGGGGCGGGGAAACAGACCCTTGTGCCCAATAGTGCTTTCTACCAGTGAGTCCCCCGCTGAAAGTGAGCAGTGCTCAGGACCCCTGCCCAGTTCCATTCCTTCATCTGCGCTATCCTGTTGTGGCTGTATCTTCTCTTTTTATTTTTAATATATTTTATTGGTTTTTTTTACAGAGAGAAAGGAGGAGGGATAGAGAGCTAGAAACATCGATCAGCTGCCTCCTGCACACCCCCTACTGGGGATGTGCCAGCAACCAAGGTACATAGGTACATGCCCTTGACCAAAATTGCACCTGGGACCTTTCAGTCCGCAGGCTCTATCCACCGAGCCAAACCGGTTTCGGCTGTACCTTCTCTTTTTAAATGCAAACATCTGGAGACCCAAAAGAGCTCCTTGTTTTTCCTGTTTGTGATGTGCTAAGATATACGCAGAATAAAATATACCAGTTTAAGTATACAGTCCAGTCATTACATTCACTTTGGTGCAACCGTCAGCACTATGTCTGGAATTTTTCCTCCATCCCAAACCGAGTCGCTGCACCCATTAAAGAATAACTCCCATTCCTTCCACCCCACTCTACCCCCAGCTCCTTGGCAACTTTGATTCTACTTCTCTCTATACATCCTACTACTCTGGATACCTCATATGAGTGGGATCATTACACTATCTGTCCTTTGTGTCTGGCGTATTTAATTTAGCAGAATGTCTTCAAGGTTCATCCATGTTGTAGCATGTGGCAGAATTTCATTCCTTCTATAGGCTGAAAAACATCCCACTGTAGGTATGTTGCACATTCTGTTTATCTGCTCGTTAAACCCATAGGTGGACATTTGGGTTGTTTCCTCCATTTTTGTTTGTTTGGGGCCTCCACTCACCTAGCTCTTTGTAACACTCTGCAATGCAGTCGACACTCAGCAGAAGTTTGTTCATTTTCCTGTGCCCTTTCACCTCAGAAACCCTCAGAGGAACCAACCCCATTGCCCTAACAGCACACACGTTAGTGCCGTCGTAGTAATGGTTTCTGCCGTGCCCATCTGAGTTTGTAATCTCCACTTATAGTTTTGAGACTTTCAGACTCAGACTCTGTACATTATGTTTAATTTTAAAAAGTAGAACTTAAAACCCCTCCAACATTAGTTCCAGGTGAATGTGTGATCATCCCCCATGCCACATGCTTTTCACATCATTTTTATGCCTTATTATCTGCCAAGATGGCCTTAAAAGTTTTCTCTGGTTGTCCCGGGCCCTCCACTTGGCATTCTCCTGTGCTGGAATATTACCTGCCAGGAGTGTTGCCTCAGACATGCCACTGTACTCATCTCAAGGTCACAGTAACTGGTGAAGTGGGTACCTCTAAATCACATGTGTCAAACACAAGGCCCGCGGGCCAAATCCGTCCCGCCAGGCCTTGCAATGTGGCCCGCACCGCGCTGTCATCACTGCACTCCGCTGCGTTTCCATCACAATGACAGTTTATGACTGTTCAGTAAACCATTCGGCCCGCGATTTAGGCTGGATTTTAGATTTTGGCCCCTTCTCTGATTGAGTTCGACACCCCTACTGATGGCTGAGGAGACAGAGGGGTGGGGAGTTGCTACTAGCTGTCATGGAGGTCTCAGCAGCGGAGAGAGCCTCCCTTCATCGAGTTCCAGTTCCAGAAGCCTCGCCCAGGGCAGTCCACCAACAACACGGGCCACGTTGCTCCACTCCTCCTTCCTCCCTCTCCCCGCCAACCTTGCTTCATGGCTGGTTAGGTGGCCTGAAAATATGTTTAAAACATGGTATTACTGGCTTATAGTGCAAGATGGCACCTCTCCCAAAAGTATGTCCATTTTAACCTGGGAATTCTGTAAATAAAATGCCTGAATTTAGTTTCAAATGGTGGGTCTTTAGGCGGTGTAGCTGGGAGGTGAGATTCCTCTGTGAGGAAGCTATTCTAGTGGCCTCCTGGGTCTCACCAGGCAGCCTGTGCTTGCACAACAGCTCCCTAAGCAAGCATTTCATGGCCTGGGCAGGACTCAGAAATCCTCAAGAATTCAGAATGTCAGCAGAGGTCTAAATCTGTGTTTTATAACAGCACAATTACTCACTCGGACTCAGGCGTTTTCATTACCACAGTCAAACTGGACTGGCCCTCTCTCCTCAACACATACCAGCACAGAGACTTATTTAGCTCTGGGTTTGAGTGAGTGGTTTGCAGAAGCACACATTTATATTTTGGACTCCAAAATCAAAAGTTCAAAAGGTTTCTTTAAAAAAAATGAATTTCTGTTTTTAAAAATTCAATATTATTTTGTATTAGTTTCATGTGTACAGTATAGTGGTTAGACAATTACATACTTTACAAAGTGCCTCTCCCCCATCCCCATCCCCCCTCCCCCTAGTAATTCCAGCACCCACCTGGCACCATTCATAGTTATTACAATATTAT